ATTGGCAATGAAGCTTGGTTCAAACCATACAACTGTTTATCGTCATCTTCAACAACTTGGAAAGGTTCCTAAACTTGGAAAACGGGTGCCTCATGAATTGTCTGAAGTGAACCGCAAATCGCGAGTTGAGATCTGCTATTTTCTTCATATTCGTGACCTTACCTCGCCCTTTTTGGATAGATTTGTGACTGGTGATGAAAAATGGATCTTTTATAAAAATGTCAAGGTTCTTCTCTCTATCTGGTGGGATTGCAAAGGAATTATTCACTTTGAGTTGCTGCCAACTAATGCGACAATCAATGCTCAAGTCTATTGTCAGCAATTAGAGCGTTTGAACGCGGCTTTAAAGAAAAAAAGACCTGTTTTAGTGAATGGAAGAGGAGTGGTGTTTCATCAGGACAATGCACGACCCCACACTGCAAAAATCACGTCCCAAAAGATTGAAGAACTTGGTTGGGAGAAAATTCCTCATCCGCCTTATTCTCCCGACCTTGCTCCTTTAGACTACCATTTGTTCCATAGTTTACAGAATCATTTGGATGGATTAACTCACACAAGCCATGAGGAGGTCGAAACTGACATTTCAGAGTTCTTCTCTTCGAAACCGAAAGAGTTTTTTAGTAGGGGGATTAAAAAGCTTGATGGAGAGAAGTCATAGATAATCATGGAAACTACATTGATGATTAAATTTCAATAAAATGTAAGATTTGATCACTCGTTTTCTTTATTTAAAATCCGGACAGAACTTATGGGATGATCTGATAGAATCTATTTCTGCGCGATAATTGTATAAGCATTAAGGCGAAACCAACCTTTGCACATTTAGTAGGGAAATGCTTGACGCACAGCTATTACTTTCCATTTATGATATTTATAAATTGAGTAGGTATTTTAAAATTATTTTGAAATATTTTTCTGTGTGGAATTCTGAGTAACTTGTGTTAAAATGTTCAATGCAACAAACTAAATTATTGTTATTGTTTTTGACGATATATCATGGAAAACCTGATGAATGAATGTATTGTGTGTTTTCTAAAATTAGTCGGCCTATTACATATGGGTCTCTTTTAAGCAACAAATATTATGTCACTTTTTAAAAGTAATTTTTAAAAGTTTTTTTATAACTTCTATTAACAACACTTTTAACTGACTAAAATTGTGATACAATTTTTCTTTGCAAAACACTCAGATAATTCAATTTCTCACTACTGTTAGGATTGGGGCTTAAGACTTTTTATTTGTTAGATTAAACCAAAATATTTAATGTTAAAAGGATTGTATTTACTATTAACTTATACTTTCATTAGATATCATGTACCATTATGCACTACCCTGCTAAAAGTGTTCGGATAGAAGTCATAGATTTTTGTGTGTGTTTATATATATAGGTGTTCTATTGTTTGTTTGAAGTTAAGCATAAAGCTACCCCTAGAGCTATCTGTGCTCTACCCACCACGGGTATCGAAACCCGGTTTTTAGCGTTGTAAGTCCGCAGACATACCGCTGTGCCACTGGGGGTTCTAGTTATCACTTCTTAATATAATGGATCACTGCACTTGCTATTATTTCACGAGATATGTATCTAACCAAGTGTCAGATAAGCATCTGAAATACTTTGTTTTCATTATTGTTTCAGAAGTTTCCTAACTGACCGAAAGGAAGACTGTGATCCAGCTTTTCAAAATAAGCCTTCCAGCTGAAGATCTTATTTTGAAGTAAAGTCAGTGTTCTGAATTGGCCACTTGAGGGCGTTAATATTTTTAATTTGTAACTAGGCGTGGGTCGTACATGCTTTGTGGCAGAAAGAATTATCCTGCTGGAACAACAGACTTGCCTGATGACCAAACATTCTGTCGTGGTCCCGGAAACATGTTCATTTAAGATTTACTGATATTCATGGTTATAAAAAGATGCAGAAACTTCAGAGAGGGTCTCACGACCAATGCGCAGATGGTAGCTTATTCTTTAACATCCCCAACACAATTTTTTACAACAAGCAGAATAAAATTACAGTAGAAATTGTACATCCGACTGATTCTAGACTTGTAATGGGCTCCTACTTCGAAACTAATGAAATGGTTCTGATAAATTCACACAATTTGTAAACACTCGTTGAAATTTAAATGTTGATTCCAAGCAAAAATAAAAAAAGAAATTGTGCCAAACCATTTTTGTCTAATTTACAGTTTGCATTTTCCACATTTTTGAAGAGCATGTTGCACAGAACTCAAAGACACTGACCACAACGAATGCAGTAAAATCACTGTAAATTTATTGAAGTATGATTTCTGGTTCTTTTACCCAATCCTGAATTTAATATATGATTGTTATTCTATGACAACACTTTCGGTTAACCTGACAGTAGTGTTTCGATGTTATACAGTTGAACAGTTTCATTCACTGTAGATAGGACATAATCCTGCAATATTTCACACGTCGATTTTTCCATACTTCCAACAAACTATAATCGCTCCTTTCTTATATTCACGCAGTTAATGACGTTGGAAAAGACTGCGTGTAGTTTGACACTAATAATCTACCTATTTGACATATCTCCGCTTTCTTTTCAAGAGACTGCTGGCTGAGCGGTGTCATGTTTTCGAGGGATGTACAAAATCGTCTGGCAGGGCAGTATATAACATTTCCGAACCTTCTATATTACACATGCTGTCGAGAAGCAGTGTGTTTGAATACTGAAGCTGCATTGTATATATTATTAGGTTTTGTTCATTAACAAAATATTATATTTCAAAATTTAGTTGTGTAAGTTCTTGATGTACAACTATTAGTTTCCAGTTAATATATATAAAAACTTAATTCGTAATTTAGAACTATTCGGAAATGTTTTTCGGTATAGAAATTTGAATGACTTGTGCAAAAATATCCAGTTTAACAACAAAGATGTTTTTATTGTTTGTGATATTTTTAGTATGGAAAACCAGATAAAGGTAAATAGAAACTAAAATCTTCATAGTTTCTTATGTTGATTTCTTCACTAGTTATTTTAGACTTTCAGAAACGCTGCCTTACGGCTGGCTGTTTGTGCTAGTAATTACTAATCGTAGTATTCATACCTCATTGAAAAACAATTGAAAAAAAAAGTGAACATTTTCTAAAAAAGGATTTTTCTGGGAAGTGCTGCACAGGAAAAGTGTTCGGATTGTGCTGATATATACTGTTATATTTTTATATATTAAAAGTGGTACCCTTTATTGAAAAAATAGCATTTTTAAGAACTAATTTTTTAGTACTATATTTACGAATTACATCAATATAGATATAATCAAACCCTCACGTACAGTCATAGGAAAAAGTCGTGTTCTTGTTGTAAGGAGAGTACTTTTATTTAAAATTGTGTTTTGTAATAAAGATGTGGTTATTGCACATACCATAGTTATTTTTCGAATTGTCTGAATCTTGAATACCCAAAGTGTGAACCTTTTTATGGATTTTTGTTTGTGGTGCTATTCAATAGATGGCGCCACATTGGATTTATTATTTCGGTCACATACATAGATAGATACATATGTATACGCTACGTCCATTAATGTAACACATATAGAATCAGATGTTTAATTTACGCTTACATATAGGATACATAACTTTGTTTAAACTTTGATGTCTAGCATGATAGGATTTTAGAGTTGAAAATATATACAGGGATTTTTATCTTTGCTGTGACACTTTTCTGCACGAAGTCTCAAGAAGACAACTTTAAATGTTCTGTAAACTTTTGACGTATAATATACGAAAGAAATACTGAATACGATTCTATACAGCAGAAAAATATGTTTGTATTAAAAATATGTTCAATATTTATTGGGTCAACCGGTTAGACTGTTTACACAACAAATTAAATTATGAATCACATTCTAATTGAAAATACAGTAATCTTTTAAAATTATCTTAGTTTTAGAGTTTCCTATTTAAAGCGTGTAAATAAAGAGGTGAAATGGTTTTCTGTGAAAATCCCTTTCTTCAAAGTTTCGAAATTTTGCAAATGAGGAAATTTGCTTCAGAGCAACGTGAACTATTGTAAAAGAAGACGGACAGTGTAAGTGTGCAGAAATATAAGTCACTTGTCAGAATAGAAGTTCAAGAGTGTACATTATTTGTCGGAACTATTGTTTGAATAATATTTTGATATTTCATGCCTAATGTATCTTTTCTCTTGAACTACTATAACTAAAGATGATAGCATTTTGAGACTTATACTTAACGATGTACTGGCTGATTGATTTTGAGAAAGAATTTGATAGAGTAAGTTGGAATACCTTGTTCAATGCACTTAGAATGATCGGAGTGGACTGGAAAGATAAAAGACTGATTATGGCTTTGGGTCAGACAGCAACAGTGAGATTGGCTGAGGTGAATCAGATGCTGCAACAACTGTAAGGCAAGGAAGCATATTATTACTAACATTTTTCAATGTCTGCGTAGTGGAAACGATAAAAGGAGCATGGGAAAAACCCGACTGAAGGAATATGATTGGAGGGCAAATGGTGAGATCTTGTAGATATGTAGATGACAAGGCAGTGCTTGCTAACATAGAAGAAGGGCTACAACGTTTTGCTACGAAATTAAATGAAGCAGCAAAAGAATTTGCAATGAAAATAAACATGAAAAAACCAAAGTGATGAGTGTGTCAATGAAATATGGTTGAAAATTAAAAAAGAAAGTTGAAAGAGGTGAAAGAGTTTTGCTACTTAGGTAATCCTATCGCACCAGATGATCAGTGTTGTAAAGAAATCAGAACCAGAATTGAAATGGCTAAATAAGCATTCATAAAGAAAAAGAAGCCAATAACTATTCACTTTGAGAGGGAAGTGAAGAACAGAATAAAGAGTTACATCTGAAATGTGTCAACGTATGCATTGCATGCGAGACGTGGACAATGCATAAGCAAGAAATAAAGAGACTTATAGGTTTCAAAATGTGGATTTTGTTACTAAAATATGTTGGAAAATGAAGAGATTCTACATCAGGTGAAAGAATAACGTGACTTGTCTCAAAGGTCATAAAGAAGTAGAAAAATATGGATTAGACATGTGTTGAGAGGGAATAGCCTGATGAAGAAGGTGATTAAGAGAAGATTCCTTGGGAGAAGATTAAGAGGAAGTAGAAGGATGATGATGCTAGATGATGTCTAACAAGGAATGACTAATAGACAGGTGAAGTGAACAGTTGAAGACAGAGCTAACTAGAGGAAAGAATCGTGCTTTGGACCTTTCAAAGAACAGAACACTTGATGATGTTAACACTAGCTGGTCACTTTTTCAGGATCTGTACCTAATAAATGGTTGAGCCACCTTTTCTCTGAATAACATAATATGACGTGGTTAAGAATCCACAAGGTGCTGGAAGGAGTCCTGTGGGATTTTATCTCTGTTCAATTATTAATATTGTATGTAATTCATGGAGTGGGTAGGCAGAAGATCAAGATCATTTCACATATGCTCAATTGGAATGAGATCTGGAAATTTTAGCAGCTACGGGAGAAGTCTGAAGTATTCTTCATGTTTCTCAAACCATGCACGCACAACATGGGCACTGTGGAGGAAAGCACTGCCACGTTGGAAGTAGCCGTCCCCATTCACATACATATGAAACATCGTTGGATGCACTTCATCAGAAATGTAACGTTCATTCTACCTTCTA